GGGCCGGCTGGTGGGGCCTGCTGGCTCCCGCCTGCCTGCTGGCCTCTGGACCTGGCAAGGCTCACTGCCCCAGGGGCAGCTGCACGTGGTGCCAGACACGCGACCCACACAGGCGGGCGGGTCATGATCTGGGGGGCTGCTACGACGGGAAACCTAAACAAGCAGACTGGTGGTTTCCCATTTTGTTCTGAATTTGCTAGAGGGCGCGTGCACTCGCTGGAGAGACAGGCAGGGATTGTGAGAAGGCACCCCGCGTGGGGATGGCCGCGCTGCAGTCCCTTCTCTATTTCTGGGATTTGGGGCGCACACACACACACACACACACACACACACACAGTTTGTCGAGCCTCTAAGTCTGGGACTAGAACCACACAGCTGGTCATGGGGATCCAGTGCCTCGGGCTAGCCTGGTCTCTTTACTGTCACAGACCTAAGTCCCACCCTGGCTTTATTTTCAATGTTTTTGCTGGGTGCAGGGCCATGGACAGAGTCTGGCGGGCCTGGCATCAGGCCACGCTGGTTCGTAGCTATGTCAGCGCCATCTTCCTCAGTTCTGTCATCTTGAAGATGGGGCCAGTGTGCCTGTCTTGGTGGCTAAGCCGTGGGTATGCGGTTTCACAGGGTAAGGGTGGCGGCTCGCACTCACACTTGGCCTTCACTGCTCTTGGGCAAGTCACATAACTGAGTCCCAGCTTCTCCACCAGTGAAACGGGGCCACCACTCTGCACCTCGGCTCACTCAGTTCCCCCCCGCACCCCACTTCCCAATAAGAAAATCATGACCCAGGCCAGTTAAGAAACTTGCCCAGGGTGACATGGCTTGTAGGTAGGGAGGTGGCGCCTCAATTCAGGTGGCAGCTGGAGCCTGCACCTAGCCACCATGCCATCCTGTCTTGGCACGGCTCTTCAGCAGCTGGTGGTCCAGTTGGGAGGGGCGCTCTCGTCCACCAGGGGCCAGGGTGTGGGCATACCCAGCTGCACAGACCGGAATCCCACAGCGCTGCGGGGAGTCCGGGCCCGCGCCTCCCCGGCCGCCTCTCCCACACACTAGCTGTGCTCGCTGGCTCTGTAGACGCCCAGGGCATGGGGGCCAGGAGAGTTGTGTGCCTCCTCCCCCCCGGCCCCCACTTCTGCTTCAGTGGCCTGCAAACCCTCTTTGTGCCTTTATAAGTATTCGTGCTCGTCTACGGAAACTGGTAGGAGAGGGGGAGCCAGCTGCACTTTCAGACCCTGGCGGCACACAGTCCGGCAGTGGGAGCCAGCCCGGTCCCTGTGCCACGGGTGCCCAGTAGAGCAGCAGGCCTGCCTCGCACCAGAGTCCGGGACGGGCACCCCAGAGAGCCCCAGCCCCTCGCCCTGGCCAGCCAGTCCACCCTCACTAGTCACCCGGCGTCCCTAAGCCTCGTGTCGAGTGAGGTGCTCTTTGGCACTGGAGCCCCTGGGCACACTCCATTTTTTAAATTAGATCACCTTTTAGAAGTGAAAATGATACATTTTTGTTATTTCTGGAAGGTCAAATTCATCCTATTCCAATAGGACGACTGTGGGGCTGACTGGTGGCAGTGAGGCCACACAGCCTTCACGTGGGTCAGGCTCAGGGCGGCTCTCAGCTCTAGGCAGTCAGCCACAGCCCTTACCCCCAAACCTTTAAGGTTCCCAAGCACCCCAACCCTGAGCCCAAGCAGGACTTCCCAATGTTCCTTTGGAAATCTCTGGACTCCCCAGGAGGCAAGCACAGCGTGGGAGAAGGGATGCTCTGAGGCCTGGCAGACCCATCAGAAAATGCCCGACCCAGCCCCAGCCCCCTCAGCCTAGGACGTGTAAGCCAGTAGTCCCTGGGCCTCCCCAGACTCCCCCTGGAAGCCCCTCTGCTCCCCAAATCCTGCAGCATAGCCAGCCCCTCCAGCAGCAGGTACGAAAATGAAAATCGTGGGGTGAGCCCAGGATGCAAGTTAAGATGTAGGCTTTTTAAGGTCATTATTTTAATTACCACTAAAATAATTGGCACTCGGGCTATCAGAAGAGCTGGGCGATCAGAGGCGCAAGGCACCCCTCCCCCACCTCGAGGCCGGAGAGCCTCAGTGTCTGTATAATTAAAAGCTCCGTCTTTCATGAGCACAATAAAGAGGCCAGAGGGTGGGCAGACTGCAGCCCTGCTGCATGTTAATGCATTTATTATGATCAATAAGGCCTTTCCTTGAGTTTTGTCCTCCAGTTTGCGCATCTGCATGACTGACAGCCCACGCACGCACACACCAATCTGCCCAGTGGTATGGACGGCTGAAAGTTCAGTTATTTGGGAGGGCCCATACTCGGGCTCCAGGCATGGCCCTGGCTGTCCCTGGGGCACTGTGCCGGGCTCATCCACCTCTCATGGGGACAAGGCACGTTCTCGGGGCTGGGAGGACGGACACAGATGAAGCGCTGAGGGCAGGGCCGCACTGGCTGCCTCCTAGGAGTGACCCAGAGCCGTCTCTCCCCACAGTTACGAGAGCTGGTCAGCATGTGCATCTACCCTGACCCCGACCAGAGGCCCGACATCGGGTACGTGCACCAGGTGGCCAAGCAGATGCACGTTTGGATGTCGAGCACCTGAACGCCTCCTCGAACGCCAGCACGCTCTGCCTTACTGAGTCTTCTCTCCCAAGTGGCCACCTGGTAGCCTAGGACAGCTAAGACCAGAGGGTGCAGAGGCTCCCAGAGGGGCCGGGCTTCCCCGCTGAGGCTGAATTCAGAGCAGCTGGAGGAGGGGCACCGGTCGCTGATGTCAAATCCGAGTCCTTCCTTTATGCTGTGGTGCATCTCAGCGGGTGTGCGCCAGGCAGGCGGCTCAGCGAGCTGGCATCTGGACTGGAATGTGAATCTTCAGGAGTCTCCAGGGACCTGTCAAGGTGCACACGAACAGAAGACTTGCAGGAGACCGTGTGAACTGAGTAGTGAGCCTCCGAGATGGTTAGCAAGTTCAGTTTAGTTCTTAGTATCCTTTCAATCAGGCTGCGTGCTTAGTTTTCCCTGTTGTAAAGTGGAAATAACGTTTTTAAGTAGAGTAGGTTTTGGTAGTATTTTTATCTTCGTTTTATAACTTGATCAGTGACGAGGAGCACCCAGCAACTGCCATGGAGCGTCACGAGGCACATGGTATTTGCAAGTGGGAGAGTTTGCCTTGCAGTCTGGTCCAGCCACCTTCTCCTGAACACCTACCCCACGTGGGCACCGGGCCCGTGTGGGCACCTCCATGAACACTGGCACTTCATTCGTGACCAGCGTTAACTGCTCTACTCCGTGGGAAGCAAGTTGGGATACCCTAAAATACAAGGGCTTGGCTGCAGGCTATCCTTTAACAAATTCTGGTTCTGTAGCTTCTAGTGACCTTGGCCAAGTTTCTTAGCCTTTCTGAGCCTCAGTTTTCTTTTCTGTAAAATGAGACTAACAGTATCTACCTACAGGGTCGCTGACAGAATTTGAAATAAAATATGCAACTTAGCCAGCACATTGGCAAGGATCGAAGAACGGTAGCTCACGCCTTCACAGAACTTAAGTCCATGGGTCACGTAGAATCGAAGCACAGCCATGTCACGTGTAGAACCGGAAACGTTTTTTCTTGTTTCCAAACAGGGTTAACTGTGAAGACTTATAAATGTGAACTTAAGGAAAACCCAAGCTCTGAAGGAAATAGCTTAAATTTTGGTTTATTATACTCATTCATCCAAAATAGCCAACGCTGTCACCCACTTGGTTACAGCTCAGCCCTCCTGACGAGGGCACCGCCGTGGACACTCACCTGGCACTCACTGACCAAGCCTCCCTGGGGAAAAGCCAGGGCTGGGCCCTGCCCCGTTCCCCCAGGAGAACTGGGCTCCACTGCAGCACTGTCGGGCTCGTTTCTCCAGACGCAGCCTCTGCTCTGTACTTTTTCTCCATGTTTGAAATAAAACGGGGTGAAAGGGGTGACTTCTGTGAGAGTCTGACTCATGGATGATTTGAATTGTTCCTCTGAAATTAGTAGGTCCTAGGCTTAGGGACTATGTCAGTGATACTTTCTCGAGAAGCCTTTAAAAACGCAGCTTCCCGGGACCAGCAGTTAGCGTAATGGCTATGTCGCTGGACTCCCACGTAATCGACCACGGTTCGCGTCCCGGACTCGGTGGCTTAAAACTCATGCCAGGCGCGTGTGCATGCGTGCCCAAGATCCCGAGAGGAGAATGGAGGAGAAGGGACTGCGGCGTGGTGATTTCTCACTTTCTGTCTCTCTGTCTGGCAAGTGCACAGACCTCTCC